CCTTAATGCCAAAAATATTGTTTTGATTCTGTAGCTTTATGGTAAGTTTTGAATCAGGAAGTGTGAATTTTCCAATTTTGTTCTTGCTCTTCAAGATTATTTTTGGATATTTGGGACTCCATATAAATTTCAGGATGGATTTATCTACTTTTGCAAAAAGTAGATTTTGACAGGGATTGCATTAAAACTGTATATTGCCTTGGCTATATTATTTCTCCCCCTTTTTTCTATGTCTTTAATTTCCTTCAGCAGTATTTTGTTGTTTTCAGTGATTAAGTTAAGCTCTGGTTATTTCTAAGTAACTATTTTTTAAAATTTTATTTATTTCTGGCTGCACTGGGTCTTTCTCTAGTTACAGTGCGTGGGCTTCTCAATGCAGTGACTTCTCCTGTTGCAGAAGACCAGTTCTAGGGCACTCAGTCTTCAATAGTTGTGGTGTCTGGGCTTAGTTGCCTTGTGGCACATCCCTTCCTGGACCAGGGATCAAACCTGTGTTCTCTGCATTGGCAGGCAGATTATTCTTAACCACTGGAGCACCAGGGAAGTCCCTAAGCAATTATTTTAGATGCTATTGTACATTGTTTTCCTACTTTCATTTTTAGGTTATTCATTGCAGTATATAGAAATAGTGATTTTTGTGTGGTAAATTTGTATCTTGGTAGTTTGCTTAACTTATTTATTGGTTCTAACAGGTCTGTATGTCTGTAATCTTTAGGATTTTCTACATGTAATATTGTATCATCTGGGAATAGAGATAGTTTTACTTCTTTTCCCGTTTGGATGCCTTATATTTATTTTTCTTGCCTGATTGTTTTGGCTGGAACTTCCATTACTATGTGAATAGAAGTGATGGAGGCAGGCAACTTTGTCTTTTTTTTTTTTTTTTTGTCTTAGAGGGAAAGCATCCAGTCTTTGACCATTTACTGTTATGTTAGCAGTGGGTTTTTCATGTTGAATTTTTTTTCTAGCCCTAGTCTCTTTTAGTTGTTTTTTTTTTTTTAAATCATGGAAGGGTATTGGAATTTTCAAATGCTTTTTCTGCATCAGTTGAGATGATGTGGTTTTTTCACCTTTATTTTACTTACATAGTCTATTACATTGATTGCTGTTTGTATGTTGAATCAGCCTTGCATTCCTGGATAAATTCCACTTGGTCATTTTATATAATCTGCTTAATATGCAAGTTGATTTGTTTTGCTAGGTTTTGCTTTTTTTTTTTTTTTTTAGGATTTTTGTACCTATATTCATAAAAATGTTGGTTTATAGTTTTCTTTACTTGTGATATCTTTGTTTAGCTTTGGTATCAGGGCAATGCTTAGCTCATAGACTAGATTAAGAAGTAGTCCCCCTTTTTTTTAGTTTTTTTTTAAAAATTGTTTAGCTGCATTGGGTCTTAGTTGTGGCACTTGGGATCTTCATTGCATCATGCAGGATCTCTAGTTGTGAAGCGTGGGCTCAGTAGTTGCAGCACATAGGCTTAGCTGCCCTGCAGAGTATAGATAATTCCCCAACCAGGGACTGAACCCGGGTCCTCTGCGTTGTATGGTGGATTCTTAGCCAGTGGACCACCAGGGAAGTCCCCTTTTCAATTTTTTGTTAGAATTTGAGAAGCACCGACATTTTTCTTTAAATGTTTAATGTAGGTTTCAGCATGAAGCCATCAGGTTCAGGATCTTTCTTTGTCCTAGAAGTTTTTGGTTACTGATTTACTAGTTGTGGGTGTATTCAGATTTTCTATTTTTTCATAATTTGGTGTTTGTATGTATTCTTTTTCTACGATTTTATCCATTTCATTTAGGTTATCCAATTTGTTGGCATGCAACTGTTCATAGTACTCTATTCTTACAGTTCTTTTCATTTCTATATAACTGGTAGTAATGTCTTCACTTTCATTTTGCTACCAGTCATCTGAGTCTTCTCTTTTTCTTGATCAGTCTAGCTAAAGGTTTGGGAATTTTGTTTATTTTTCCCAAAAGCCAACTTTTGGTTTCAGTGATATTTCTCTAATATTTCTTTCCTGCTAACTTTGGGTTAATTTTATTCTTTTTCTAGTTCCTTAAGGTGTAAAACTAGGTTGCTCCATTTGAGATCTTTTTAAATTATGAGCATTTATGGTTATAAGTTCCCTCTTAGCATTGCTTTTGCTGAACATTGCAAGTTTTTTAGTGTTGTTTTCATTTTCATTTGTCTAAGTATTTTCTAATTTTCTTTGTGATTTCTTTTTTGACCTATTGATTGTTAAGAGTATGTTGTTTAATTCCATAAATTTGGACATTTTCCAGCATTCTGCGTTATTGATTTCTGTCTTTTAAAATCTCTTGAGCCTTAATTTGTGACCTGACATATGATTTATTCTGAAGAAGAATGCACCATGTGCATTTGAGAAGAATGTGTATCTTGTTGTTGAGTGGAGTGTTCTGTATATGTTTGTTATATCTAGTTGGCTTATGTGTTGCTCAACTTCTCTTTCCTTACTCATCTTCTGTCTGGTTGTTCTATTTATTATTTAGAGTGAGATATTGACATCTCCAACTGTTACTTAGAGCTGTTTATTTGTCCCTTCAATTCTGTTAGTTTTGGTTTCAGATACTTTGACCTATTATTAGGTGTAAATCTTTATAATTATGCATCTTTTTGCTGTGTTGAACCTTTTTTAATATACTGATATATAATATCCTTTGTCTCTTGCAACCTTTTTTGATTTAAAGTCTATTATATTTGATAGACTTTAGTATAGCCATGCCAACTCTTTTGTTTTCTATTTCCATGGAATATCTTTTCCCATCTTTTCACTTTCAGCCTATTTTTGTCTCTGGATCTAAAGTAGTCTCTTGTAAATAACATATAACTATACTATGTTTATTTGAATCCATTCTTCCAACCTCTGTCTTGATTGGAGAGTTTAAACTGTTTATATTTAAAGTACTTAATGATAAGGAGGGACTTCTGTCATTTTGCTCTTTGTTTTCAGAATGCATTTAGCTTTCTTGCCCCTTTGTTTCCTGTATTATATCTTTTGTGTTTAGTTGATTTTTTTTGTAGTGAAACTTTAATTCCCTTCTCATTTCCTTCTGTATATATCATTTAACTATTTTCTTTGTGTTCACTGTAGGGATTAACTTTGACATCCCCAAATTATACCATACTAGTTTGAATTTTTACCACTTTAATGTGACTAAAATAAAAGCTCCACCTAGTCCCGTCCCCATTCCAATTCAGTTATTAATGTCACAAAGTTACATCTTTATGTATTAAGAGTACAAAAATACAAAGTAGTCACATTTTTTATGCATTGGTACCTAAGAAAACTGTTTTCCTTCATTCTCACTCTCACAACACTTATGACATCAGATATGTGGCTTTCTGACTGTCCCCTAGCCTTTATTTCCTCCTTTCTTTAATATTTATTTTTAAATTTAAAAAATAATCTTATTTATTCATGCTATTTATTTTTGGCTGTGCTGGGTCTTTGTTGCTGTGTGGGTTTTTCTCTAGCTGCAGTTTGGGGGCTTCTCACTGCAGTGGGCTCTCTTGCTGTGGAGCACGGGCTCTGTGGGGCTCAGGCTTCAGTGGTGGTGATGCATGGGCTCAGCAGTCGCGGCCCCTGGGCTCTAGAACACAGGCTCAGTAGCTGTGCACAGGCTTAGTTACTCCATGGCATGTGGGATCTTCTCAGCCCAGAGATAGATCCCGTGTCTCCTGCATTGGCAGGTGGGTTTTTTTTTTTTTTTTTTTACCACTGAGCCACAAGGGAAGTCACATTATTTTTATTTGTTTGGCTGTTCTGGGTCTTAGTTGTGGCATGCGGAATTTTTAGTTGAGGTATACAAGATCCTCTAGTTACAGCATGTGGGACCTTGAGTTGTGGCATGGGAACTCTTAGTTGCAGCATGTGGCATCTAGTTTCCTCACCAGGGATGGAGCCAAGGCCCTCTGCATTGGGAGCATTGAATCTTAGCCACAGGACAACCAGGGAAGTCCTTACCCCCTGATTCAGACACCAATCACAAGTCCAGGTTGCCACCTTGGCTTCTGACCAACTGTCTGTAAACTGGGACCAGTTTCTATGACCTCCTCCTGAGGTCTGATAATTTTCTAGAACAGCTCACAGAACACAGGAAAAGTTTATTTACTATTGCTGATTTATTACAAAATGATACCTTAAAGAATACAATTGAATAGCCAGGTAAAGAGCTACATAGAGGGTGAGGTATGGAAGAGGGGCAGAGAGCTTCCATTCCCTTTCAGGTACACCACCCTCCTAGTAAGTCCACATGTTCAACAACCCAGAAGCTCTCTGAGCTCTGTACTTTGGGGATTTTTATGGAGACTTGATCATGTAGACATCATCAATTATTAATTCATTTTCTAGGCCCTCTCTTGTCTCTGGAGAATGAGGGATAGGGCCCAAAAGTCCAAGCTTCTAATGATGGCTTAGTCTTTTGGTGACCAGCCCCTATCCAGAAGGTCACCAAAAGTCACCTCATTAGAACAAAAGATGCTCTAATGGTGATAAACTCTCCCAGCATTTATCTGAGAATGACTTAATATCTCCTTCATATTTGAAGGCCAGTTTTGCCAGTTATGAGATTTGTGGTTAGACAGTTTCTTTCAGCATTTTGAATATATCAACCCATTGCCTTTTGGCATCCAAGGTTTCTAATGAGAAATCTCTTAAGAATCTTATCTGGGATCTTTTATAGAGTGATGAGTTACTTTCTTACTGCTCTCAAGATTCTCTTTGTCTTTTTTTTTTTTTTTGGATTTGCAAATATTTTAATTCACAGAAACTCGAGGAGGGGGGTGGGGGTGGGGGCTGGGGCGGCGCGCTGGCTGTCCTTCAGTCTCTCCAGGCCTTCTCCAGCCCCCCGCGAGGGGCGACAGCATTCTAAGACATGCAGTGGTGTGCTAGTACCATACACACGACACGAACTGGACACGCCGGCGGCGGCGGCGGGGCCCCGGCTCCTCCGTCCGGGCCCGGCGGGGCGGGGCGGGGCTCACAAGGTCCGCACCGCCACGGGGTAGAGCAGGGACAGGTGCTCGGCGCCTTTGATGGGCAGCTTCCTGGTGGTGTAGTAGTGGATGACCTCCGGGACACTGTCGAACGGGGGGCTGTTCTCGCCCAGGACGTATTTCTCTTTGGTTTTGGCCAGTTTCATGTGCATGAAGCCCTGGTTGCTCTTCAGGGAGAGGGAGTAGTCGTGCCTGCTGGTCTGGCTGTTCCGGACAAGGTAGCTGCACTCCTTACAGAGGCGTAGCAGGTTCTCAGCGTCCCCCCTGCTGATGGCTCCGTGATACCATATTTGCTTCTCCAGTGGCACAGCCGGATCCACTCTCTCTCCCAGGATCCCACAGAACTCAGGGCTCCCATGTTTGATGGGCTTGAAGCCCCCTCCGGGAGCTCGAAGCTGGCGCCGCCGGTCCCGGGAGGGCGAGGGGGATGACTGCCGCTTCTCACTGCCATTAAACTGGGCTGCCAGAGCTGGGATAGTGACCCGGTTCCACTCCCACGGCTGATCGTACTCGTCGGCGGGCCTGTCGTCATCCTGGGGCAGCTTGCTCTCCCGGAGCCGGGGGCTGACCGTGCTCTCTGAGTCCGAGTCCACGCTTTGGCCCTCGGGTTCGTAAGGGGTGTCGTACAACTGGATGCCTTTGTGCTGCGACCGGACGCTTTCCTGCCTCTGGAACTCAGTCATGATCCTCTGGGCCTCATAGGGCTCCATGTAGCCTGCGCTCTCTCCCTTTCCTGCTTTGCTTTTGAGATCATTCTTGGCATCAAAGGGATCCGAGTAGTCATCAGCGATGGTCACCTTGTCCTTCTTGCCGGCACCGCTCTCCTCCGCGGCCGAGGCGCCACACTTGTTGAGTAGTTTCTTGCCGCCGCAGGCCGTCGGGCTCCAGGTACGGCCGCCAGAGCAGGCGGCCCCTGGGGGGTCCCCGGCACAGCCCGCGGCGCTCTCCACCTTAATGAGGCGATGCTTCGGGGAGATGTAGCGCACTTCGGCCGGGGTGGCAGGCCGCCGCTCGCTGCTGCTGCGGTAGAGGTGCGGGGAGCCAGAGGACGAGGACGAGGACTCGGCGGCGCCCGCGCCGGAGGAGGCACAGCAGCAGCCCGCGGCGCCCGACGCGGACGAGGCGGAAAAGGCGCGCTGGCTCCCACCCGGCTCCCCGCCGCCGCAGTAGTCCAGGCGGCACATGGCGCGCAATTTGCGCAGCGACGAGCCGGGCCCGTTGTAGGGGTCCTCAAAGTCGCGCTCCTTCTGTGCGCGGTAGGCGCGGATGAGGTCGCTCGTGCTGCCGCTGTCGTCGGGCAGCGATCCCGACGAGGCCGAGAAGCAGGAGGCGGCGGCGGTACCGCAGGACGCGGAGGCAGCCGCGGGGGCCTGCGGCACGGCCTGGGGGGGCTGCGAGGGCCGCTCGCCTCGGCGCCGCTGCTCGCGGTAGTCGGGCCGCGGCGGTTGCAGGGGGCTCTTGGTCTTGCTGTTGCCCAAGCTGAAGTACTTGTTCAGCCACTTGGCCATGGCGAGAGGCCGCCTAGGGCCGCGGCGCGGGAGCCGGGTCCGCCGCCGCGGCCATTCGGGGGGCAGCGATGCCGCCCAGGTCCCTCGGCGCCCCGGCCCCGGCCCCGGCCCCGGCGAGGGGCGTCCGGGGCGCCCGCTCCCGACGCCAAGTTCAAGTTCTCTCCGCTGCCTCCTGCCGGCCGCTCCCGGGCTCCGGCAGCTGCAGCACCGCCTTCCGCCTCCGCCGCGCGCCGCCCGGGCTTCGGATCTCCTGCCCCTTGCGGGCGCGTCTCATGGGATCCCCGCCGCGGCCCCACGGATAGCGAAAGGCCCGGGCGCCTCCCGCTCCTCAGACGCTCTGGCCGTGCGCTCTGCCACGGAGCGCGCTCCTGTCCCGTCGGAACCGCAGCCTCCGCCTCTGCCGGGATCCGCGGCTGCTGCTGGAACTTGTCTGCGTCCTCGGCCCCCCGCCGCCCGACCTCTTCCTTCCCGAGAGCGCTGGAGCGAGCTCGGCCCCCGGCCGGCGAGCAGTCGGGCCGGAGAGCGAGCGAGCGATGGAGGGAGGGAGGCAGCCGGCGCCCGCCCGAGCCCGCGCGCCCGTGCCCGTCCCGGCGGCGCCTGCCGCTGCCGCTCTCTCTTTGTCTTTAGACAGTTTGATTATAATGTGCCTCAGTGTGGATTTCCTTGATTGATTTTATCCTACTTGAAGTTCACTGAGCTCTTTGGAGGGCTATATGCATGTTTTTAATCACATGTGAGATTTTTTCACCCATTATTTTTTCAAGCAGTCTCTCTGCTCCTTTCTCTCTTCTAGGATTCCCACAATGCATATGTTGATCTGCTTGATGTTGTCCCACAGGTCATTTAGGCATTCATTTCAGTTTTCTTCAATCTTTTTTTCTTCTTGTTCTTCAACTTGACAATTCCTATCTTCAAAGTAGCTGATTCTTCTGCCTACTCAAATCTGCTTTTGAATCCCTCCAGTCAGTTTTATTTTGGTTATATTTTTAAGCTCCAAAATTTCTTTTTAGTTTATTTTTAGGTTTTCTGTCTCTTTATCAAAATTACCATTTTGTTCATACATCAGTTTTGTGACTTTGTTCACATCTTCTTTTAGCTCTTCGAGCATCTTTAAGACAGACAGTTGTTTTAAATTCTTGGTGTAGGAAGTTCACCATCTGGTCTTTCTTAGACATTTGTTTATTTTTTTCCCCTTTGAATGGGTCATAACATTCCTGTCCTTTTATTACTCATGAGTTTTTTCGTTGTTGAAAGTAGGACATTTGAATTTTAAGATGTAGGAACTCTGGATATCAAATTCTTCCTCTTTCTCAGGGTTTACTGATTTTGTTTATAGTTTATTTATTTATTTTTTAATATAGTTTATTTAAATTGGTGTATGTTGTCTCTGTGGCAGCATCAGCCTGAGAGGTAAGCTTGAGGTTTCCCAGATATTTTTTGAGCCTGGATCTTTTCTTATGTATGTATGGTGACTTTCTAAGTTTCCCATATATATGGTTGCTTTTGAGTATGTGTGTGTGTTTGTGTGTGTGTGTGCTCAGTCGCTTCAGTCATGTCTGACTTTTTGTGACCCCAAGGGCTGTAGCAGACCAGGCTCCTCTGTCCATTGGATTCTCCAGGCAAGAATACTGGAGCGGGTTGCCATTTCCTCCTCTAGGGTATCTTCCCGACCCAGGGATTGAACCCTTGTCTCCTGTGTCTCCTATATTGCAGGCAGATTCTTTACCCACTGAGCCACCTGAGAAGCTTTTGAGTATACTAGTTCTTAAATGTATGGTTCCCAAAAGGTGAAAAAGGGAAAAATGAAGGGAGAAAGAAACAGATACCAGGGATTTCCCTGGAGGTCCACTAGTTAAGACTCTGTGCCTCCACTGCAGAGGGTACAGTTTCCATCTCTGTTCTGGGAACTAAGATCTCACAAGCTGTGCAACATGACGAGAGAGAGAGAGAGAGAGAGAGAGAGAGAGAGAGAAACAGGTGCCAGTCCTTTGAAATACCCTGTAGGTTCTGTCATTTGGAGGGGGAGAGGTTTGTGACCATTACAGTGGGAGTTGCAACAATGGCCTCCCACCTCTGTCTGCACACGATCAGAAGCAGCAATTAGTGATTAGAACACAGATTACCCATGATTTGGAACCCAAGGTTTTCATTGTCCACTCTGACTCCCACAAGCTGAGGCAGGCTGCTCCAGAAATGTGTGCACAGCTTCCTGGTATGGGACCCAGGATGTTCGGGGATAGCCACTAACTACCTAAGAGCTGAAACTGACTGTAATTAACTGCAATATGCCTTTTCCAACTTCCCTTGAAGTCACAAGCATTTAATAGACTCCATTGTTCCCAAGTAATTACATCAGGCAAATTCTGCAGTCAGGGACGTGAATTCCTGGTGCTTCCTACTCTACTATCTTCCCTGGTGTCACTTCAGCTGTGTCCATTTGACACAGTCCTAATTATCTTGGGAAGCTCCCTTATTTTCTGGCAAAATAAGAAGCACCAGGTTCACTTATTCATTCCTTGTTCCAGACTTCAAGTCAGAAAATTCTCCCGACTCTTCCTTTTAGTAAGCAATGGAATTGAAGGCAAAAATCTGAGCATGAGGGATTTGTGCCTGTATTAAATATTTCCTATTTCAATATAGCATTATTTTTGTTTCTGATTTTTATAATTTCACTTATGCTGAAAATCCGGATTTCTCACAGTATTGTGTTAAACATTTTTATTGTGATATATAGCACTCAAACAAAAAAGTGAATGGAAGTGCACAGTTTAATGGATTATTACAGAATAATGACCTTTGAAACATTGTAAGCACCAGGGAAGCCCCTATAGTTTCCCTTATCATTGTCTCCTCACCTCCCTCCCCTCTATTATTACTCATAGCCTATTGTCTGGACATAACTTCTTTGAATTCCTCTGTCTGCCCTGTGGTGTTCTTGTAATTGGTAAAAGCTGCAATTACTTTCTTAAGTTTTTTTTTTTTTTAATTTGTGTTTGAATGTTGTTAATTTTTCCTTGATCTTCAACAGCACTTTTCTGGTGAATTTTTTTTTCTCTTTTGAGAAGTTGCAATCTTCCATTTCTGTTTTGGTGTTTTAGAATCATGTTTTAGTTTTCATATTTGAATGGATTTATCTTTTCTGGAGAGATATTGGCATTGTGTTCCCAGTTTCTCAGCTCAAGAGCTCTCTCTATTGGAACTGTAATTGACATCTTTTAAAAATATGATTCTTGGATCCTGTCCTGTTTCAAGAAGTTCTACCACCCATCTCTTCTCTTTTACCTTAATATCAGTCAGTCAAGGAATATTGCCCTTGACTTCCAAGACAATCCCTGACACTTTTAAACAGTGCTCTTAAAAGTCTTTCCCTTTTCTTTACTTCCTCCAGTGCTTGATCTCAGACTTAACCACTGCATTCCTACTCAGATGAGAGCCTGTTCCCCCCCCCCCCACCAAATTAGTACCTCTAAAATTCTTAAATTATTTTTGGTTGTGGTGGGTCTCTGTTGCAGCACACAGTCTTTCTCTAGTTGTGGTGAGTGGGCTCCTCCTTGCAGTGACTTCTCCTGCTGGAGCACGGGCTTCAGGAGAGGGGGCTCAGTAGTTGTGGTGCACAGGCTTACTTGCTCTGCGGCATATGGGATCTTCCTGGACCAGGGATCCAACCCATGTCCCCTACATTGGCAGGCGGATTCTTAGCCCTAGGACCACTAGGGAAGTCCTGAGAGCCTCTTCTGTAGAAAAATATTTGTGAATGGTTTCTAAGCTTTGCCAAAGCCAAGACCTATCTGAACCCTCCATTCTTCTTACTTTTATGGTTTTCTGAACCTGTTCTGCTAGTTTGGGATGCTTTCACCCTCACATTTAAACATAATCTTGAATTTGAGAGTTTTCTCAGAGTCTTAGCTGAAAATGCAGGTTGTGGAATATTTTATTTGCTCTTTGTACTTTTTATTGTCAAGCGAGTGTAATCTCCTTGGTTCTGTCTTGTCTCAACAAAAATTTGGAGTGATGGACCTTAAAGCCCTCGGCACGGCACAGCTCTTGGACAGACTGTGTTATAGCTCTCAGGTCTCGAACAGACTGTGTTATATCTTAGACAGATCAGTGTTACAGCTCCGTGTTATAGCTCAGTTTTATTTAGAAAATAGCAGGAAAATACATCCTCGACGTGTGAGGGCATGCCAACCTAAAGACGTGAAGAGAAGAGAGAGCCCCGGCCCTTTGGCTCCTCTTTTTATATGTTTTTTCCTCCCCCCTGGGCCTGCCGTATGTAAATTGGGCTAGCAAGGAGTGCTGTTTTTTCTACCTGAGGTCCTCACTCCGGTCCTCGGACCTTCCTTTGATGTTCTTATGTTTTGTTTTCGCGGGCTTTTCCTTGCCTTGTCTTTTAGCCACTGCCATTTTGGACTCTTGTTTCCTATTCTAACTACCTAACATTATGAAATAAAACTAAAAGCATGCCAAGCAGGTAGAGTGTCATGAGTCACTTCTAGGCAGTCACTTCACTGCTTCTATAAGCCAAATTGGCATTTTATTTATTTATTTGCCACACTGCATGGCATGTAGGATCTTAGTTCCCTGAACAGAGATCGAACCCAAGCTCCGTGCAGTGGAAGCGAGGAGTCTTAACTACTGGACTACTGGGGAAGTCCCCCAGACTTGCATTTTAGAAAACCCAAGCTGGAGAATGGCCTGAAGGTGGGATAATTCAGGCAAGAGATGATGAGGGCTTGGATTAAGCTTTGGTCTGGAAATGGGGACGTGAGGAAGTGTGGTTTAAGCTATGGTGACTCTCACCTGATTTTCTTTCTCCAAGGGTGCTGAGAAATCAATGTGCAACTTGACCATGTCTTCATCTCCCGGAAGCAGTGAAATGCACACCTCTTGGAACCATAGTCCATTAGGTATTCAACATGTCCCTCAGTGCACAGAGCTGCAGAGGACCCCCTTGGCTTCTGCTGAGGCACCCAGGCAGAAGGCCAGTGGAATGGGGCCAC